TAGAACCAAAGGGCTAAATGGCCCAGCCTCATGGCATCCTTGTGAATGCTCCAGACAATAGCACATGGAAAGGACTGTACCCATGCACACTGGCCATCTAAAGTTAGAGCACTCACGCCAGTGACCTCAGTGGATTCTTCCAGGGCAAGACAGGGTGGATGAGACTCAGTCTGGAAATGAAGAAACAGGATCGGAGGGTTAAGCTGCCTGCCCAAGGTCATAGGCTGGGCCGGCTCCCCTGATCTCTTCTACCACACAGAGCGGTGCTTCTCCTACCTGGCAGCGTATGAGGAGGCTTTCAAAAATACAGACGACCAGTCTCCCCACCATTTTGACTTAATTGTTCTGTGTGGGGTCCCAGCACTAGAATTGTATTAGAACTCCTTAGGTACTCAAATAAGTAGTCAGGGTTGAGATCCTTCAACATGGCCAGTGAAATGAGCATGAGCTTTGTCATGAGACACACCTGAGTTTGAGTTCCAGCCTTGTTCCCAGTGGTGACCTTGGGCAAAGCACTGAACTTCCCCAAGACTCAGGTCACTGAGGGGCTACTAATACCATCTCACAGAATGGTTGGGAAGAACAATGGGTAGGAGATTTGTAAAATTCTTAGCACAGTTCCTGGCACAGGGTTGGAACTCAATGTCTGCTATGGGTGCATCCTCAACTTTGCATGGACGAGTGCTAGAATACAGTTATGCCTGGGAAGGGGGGCTCAGCTGTCCTCCCTGGAGCTGCTCATTCTCCTTTCCCCTGGGAGAAACCCATCTCTGTTTATGGCTCTTGAATCAATCTCTCACCCCACCCCCCCCTTCTCTCTCTCCAGGTGCCAAAGGTGACCAAGGCCCGCCTGGCCCCCCTGGACCTCCGGGCCCTCCAGGTCCCCCAGGACCCCCCGGAAGCAGAAGATCTAAAGGCCCCCGGCAGCAAAACATGTTCAATGGCCAGTGTTCAGGTCATCAGCCCCTGCCCCAGGGATCCTACCTCTTTGGCTAATGATCCCAAACTCTCAGGCTTCACCCAGGCTTTGCAACCAGATTTCTTAAACAGAGGGAGGAGATTTTGCCTAAATCGAGAGTTCTCCCTTGCACCAGGCCGTTGGGCTGCTTGGGCGCTCTGCCCTGGGGGTGAGAACTTACAGCAGGTTTAGAATTGGGCCTCCCATACCCTCCCCTCCTCACCCTCCTCTCAATTTATCCCCAGACTATTCCTCTTCCTTGCCAAACCACCATCCCTCTCCCCTGAAAGAGTCTCAAAGGCTAAGTCATTCACTCTGGGAGCGTGAAGGGCTTGGCTAATGCTGGGAAGATGGGGGGGGGTTCGGCTTGGTAACCTCCCCACGGTACTATGGTTCTGCCCTCGCCACCACCACGCTTTGCGTGCTGACCACGTGCGGGACACAGTGCTAAGTGCTTAGTTCGTTGGATGCTCACAGCAGTGCCACGACATGGGAATCGGTATTGCCACCAACTTACAGATCCCAAACTGAAACACCAAGGAGCTCTGTAGCTTGCCCAAGGTCACTCAGTTAGGAAGTGACAGAGCTGGGATTCACATCTGCCTGGCTCTAAAACTCTGCTCTTAGAGCATCTTCCTTTCAGAGATGAAATTCACACCTTGAGACTAAGCCAACCAAGAACAAGGGACGCCTGATCTCTGGAAGGCCAAGAGGACTTGTTTGTGGGCCAATCTGTGACAGAGGTGGCCATGGGACTGAAAGCTAATTACAAATGAAGGGCCATATTAATGAAAAATACTTCTGAGGTACGGCTAGAGCTTCTCCCCAGAGAGGTGACCTAGGACCCACTCAGCTGCTGAGGCCAGGAGAAGGCACAACTTGATACCATGACTTCAGTGGGAAGCAAAGAGGGGGAGGATCCTGCCTGGAGTTTCTTTCACACTTTCTGGGGATTTCACTGCCACTTCCCTAATTGGTCTTTCGTTTTGTTAGGTGCCCTCTTCTTTCGGGAAGACATTTTGGTAGCACACTCAGCCGTCAGAGTGGGTGAACCTGTGCTTCCAAAGATGTCACCCCACCCCACCCTCCAGTCAGTGGAGCCTGATTATAATTCTGCCCAGCAGTTAGCACCCTGCCCCTTCACTGGCGTTCAGCACCACTCCCTCCGTTAGCGGCAGCTCTTTGTTCAGCGGCCCTTGGAGAATGAGCTGAGTGGGAACCTTCCCTGGGAGAAGGGGGGGAATCGGACCTGAGCGTTTGCAGAGTCTCAGTTTGCCATAGGCTGTGTCAGCCAGGACACGGGTGTGTAGGGAGGCGCCTGCCCCGGCCTCACCTGCCTACTAAGAGGCTGGTCAGCAGGGGCTGGGCCGCAGGGTTGTGAAAACTGCTTTAAATGAGAGGCCATAATCTTCCACTCTGCCTCCTAGAAATGAGTCCTCGGTTGCCAGGCATCCTGCATCTGAACTTGGCCTTCTCACCTCCCAATTCCATTTCTTTAAGCCCCCTCCGCCCCCACAGCTTTAGAAGCAGGTTGGTACAACACAAATTAATGAGAGCCTTTTCTTCAGACTAAGAACCGGAGGGTCTCTCCATCCCTTTCCTGGCAAAACCCACGTTCCTGAACAGAAACTGCAGATGAAACTCCAAGGCAGCAGGACTGCGTGTGGGGGAGTAATGACACTGTCCCCAAGACTGCTCTCATCAGGGGGCAAGAGGACTTCTGGGAAACACTGGCTCATAGAGTACAGGGGGTCCTGCCCTTTATTTTACTGATAGATTATTCTGTGAGCTTCCCTTGGGACAATGGAGGTGTCCCTAACACCTAACTCACAGGTGATTTGAATCCCTCAGAATTGGTCTAGGCAAGTGGGCTGAACTCCAGAAAGCTTGACTTGCCCCAGACCAGGTCCGCCTCCCCAGCGAGTCCATTCTCTGTGTCTTCACACTGGCCACCTTCCTCCCCTCTGCCCTGCTTCTGCCAACCCAAGACACCTCTTCACCAAAGGTCTGAATTAAGCCCGTCTGTTGAAGGGAACAATTACAACCCAGGTAGGATGACTTCTAGCTCAGGTATAGCCTCACACCAACTGTGAATCAGGCGCCTCTCCAGGACCCATGTCCCACAGACCTTAAAGCCAACACGGGTGGGAGATGGTGGAGAGGAGCTCAAACATCTCTGGGCTCCTTCTTCCTCTGTGGTTCCTCCCTTTGCAGTCCAGGAAGACAAGGTAAAGGGGCCACCCTATTATGAGGCCCCGTCAGCTTCCCTGAAAGTGTAAATCCTTCCAGGAAGATATAATCCATGATCGTGGTACCACCCGGCCAGGGGGGCCAGGAAAGTGTCAGTATGGCTCTCCACTCCCCCCACCCCACAATGCTGAAGGCTTGAACAGGCCACTTTTCCCCTTTGACTGACCTCCTCTTGGGATTGCATTATTTTAGCAACTGTGATTATGGAAAGCTTGTTGGGAACTCCCCAAGTGGAGGGTGGGGGTGGCGTGGGATTGGGGGGAATTGAAAGTATTTGACTTGTTGCTTAAAAGCAAGCAACTAAAAAATGTGATAGGCCTATTGTAAGGGATGCTTATAGGACTAGAGCCTGGGGGGAAGTGGGGAAAGCGCCAGTTATAGAGTTACACGAGTCTCACTGTGCCACCTGCGTTTCTTCTGATGATTGTCATCGCTGTTGTAGGTGAGACATGCGCTACACCGAATGATGGCACGTTGGTTGGAAAAGCTGATGAGAAGGTCGGGGATCACCCTTCTCCACTGGCAGGTACATGAAGCAAAGCGTCTTGTTTTGAAATTCAGAAATTGGACGCCTTAAAGCCATAGCTGGTAGATGAGGGATTTTCCTTTCTCTTCCTTTGGTAGAATCCGTGATTGCTTCTGTTGGAAGTCCAACACAAGTACTGAAAGTTAGAGAGACATTTGGGACGTGGATAAGAGAGTCTGTGAACAAGAGTGATGAGCGGATCTGGGTGACGGAACATTTCTCAGGTACCTTCCCTTGGCAAGGAGGCAGATCTGCGTGGGGGTTGTGCCCTCCGTCGGGTGCCTGCCTTCGGGCTCATTCTAGGTCTGCGGGTCTGAAACCCCCGCTGACTGGTGTCACGCAACTGCTCTTTGGTTTCCAAAGCACAAATGAGCAGGCAGCACACTTCTCAGTTGAGCCCACCGGGGACAAAGCTTGCAGGTCAGGGCCCAGGGGCGGGACCAGGGCGCTCCCAATATAGCTTATCCAGTTTTAGGCAGAGTACCCAGAAAGAAACAAATAGCATTATGATGACAGCATTATAAAGCCCAAAACCATACTGTGGAAGAAATGCTGGAGACAAATTCTTGTGCACTGTCCATCTTTCTTCAAGCTTTGTTGGACAGAGAGCCCAGGGGAGAAGGTGAGGTGCCCTCTTGCAGGCATACTGCCTCCAAGCATGACCCCGCTTGTGCGGCCCCAGACGGACTGGTCAGGGGTTCCCAGTGGGGGTAGCAGGAGCCTCGTGCCAGAAGGGATCTGGCCATACTCACTGGTCAGAGTGGTAGCTGAGACACTGCCTCATCTCCTCAGGGCTCGGTGACTGCCCAGATTACCAGCTGAGAAGGACTCTGTGGCTCAGAAGGAAGGAGGACCGCTCAGTTAGCAGTGGCAGGAGCAGGGAAAGGGGACTGCACAAGGGCCAAGTATTCACTGTTCCCGGTACAGGCCTCTGTCAGTCCGATAGAAGATTTTATAAACAGTCTAGAGTGGTCTGGGAGGGAGCGATGCAGTTGTGCTGGGAGGAGCAAAGCCAACTCTGTGGCTTCTACCTTGGAAGGTCGGTTCAGGAATCCAGAGAAGAGAATTGGCCTTTGAGTCTGGGAGTCTGAGACTCCAGCCTGGACGCGGACCCTTGCAAGACCCCTCACTCTCAACTTCCGTCCTTTTACCTCCCTCCCCTGACTCACTCCCATGCCTGTCCCTGGCTTCTCCCCTGCAGGCATCAGGGTAAAGGAATTCAAAGACCAGCCCTCACTGCTGAATGGCAGTTACACACTCGTGCACCTGCCGTATTATTTCCATGGCTGTGGGCATGCCGTTCACAACAACTCTCTTTACTACCACAAAGGAGGCTCCAACACCATAGTGAGGTGAGTCCCTCGGGCTGCTGCTGCCCTCCTCACGCATCCCAGACAGCACCCGTGTAGTGTTTCAGTTAGCTGAGAGCTACTTAGGGGTGGGGATCTTTCTGTCCCCAGAGCCTGGCACACTGGGGCCAGTCAGGGCTTGCTGGCTGAATGAACCACAGGACACAGGGAGTGAGCCACATGACCCAGCCCTGGCCTGGGGTCTGCCGTATTGCTGGTGGGACACCAGGAGTAAGGTTAGAGCCAGAGAGAAGTAGATCTGGAGTGATAAGAGTTGCCACTCTCTCATCCTTTGAAAAAAGAGGCAGGAGGAACCTAGCACTCTCCTGTCAGGAAGGTGTCACCTCCCGAAGTCAGGTGTATTCTGAAGAACTTCAGGTGTGAAGAATTCCACCTCACAGCTCAGATCATTGAAGACTAAAGACTGAACACAGTGCAAAGTCAGGTGCCTTTTTTTTTTTTTTGGTAAAGATTTTATTTACTCATTTGAGACACAGAGATACAGAGAGAGAGAGAGAGCATGAGCAGGGAGAGAGGCAGAGGGAGAGGGAGAAGCAGGCTTCCCGCCGAGCAGGGAGCCCGATGTGGGGCTCGATCCCAGGACCCCGGGATCATGACCCGAGCCGAAGGCAGACACCTTACCATCTGAGCCACCCAGGCGCCCCAAAGTCAGGTGCCTTTGTGTTCAGATTGATCTGTCGTCCCGATGGGGCCCTGGCCAGGCCACCTCTCTTCCTCTTTGCTCTCCCAAGGGGGAGAGAGGTGGCCACCTGGGTAGACTGAGCCATGTCTTCCTGGCTCCCCAAAAGAATTGCTAAAATTCTGTCTTTGTGGCTTAAGAAGATACCAAGTTCTGGGCTTTAGAGGCAGAAATAGGTCATCTTGGGCAAATCAAGAAAGCGGGGACCTCAGGTTCCAACTTTGCCTACTTACTCCATGGCCTTGGACAAGACACCACCTCCCGTGGGCTGCAGGTCCTCAAGTAAGAGTGAGGAGACGGACCAGAGCCTCTGCAGCCCTCCAGCAGCAGCCGTATCTGAACTAATGCCAGTATTATGAAAGCCATGGTCCGAGTCATTCAAAACAAGAGATAGGACCTGCAGGAAAACTGGGTCCCTGTTCTCTCACCCTCCACCCCCTTCCCCGATGAGGCCCAGACACAACAACCTTGCTGGCATTGGACTGTGGGTTAGGCTGGGGACGGGACACACGTCAGCTGTGGCTGGAATCATCCCCCCTTGGCCTCTCTTTCCCCTCTCCCAGCTCCCCCATCATTTCAGCATGTCCCTAGCTACCTCATTTGGACAGTCTCATGCTAACAGAAAACAGCAACCAACCCACCCTGTTTAGAAGCCAGAACTCCCCAGACACACTCCTTCCTGTGCCCTTTCTCCTCATGTAATACTGTAGCTCCTTATTGCCCCCGGGCTGTGTTCAAGAAACACAGCCGCCAGGGCGCCTGGGTGGCTCAGTTGGTTAAGCGACTGCCTTCGGCTCGGGTCATGATCCTGGAGTCCCGGGATCGAGTCCCGCGTCGGGCTCCCTGCTCAGCAGGGAGTCTGCTTCTCCCTCTCATGTGCTCTCTCTCTCTCTCTCTCTCTCTCATTCTCACTCTCTCAAAATAAATAAATAAATCTTAAAAAAAAAAAGAAAGAAAGAAAAGAAACACAGCCGCCGGGCGCCAATACCAGAGCAATGGCAGTCCTGACCTTCAGGCATTCGGAGGACAGAGAAGCCCGTGAGCTGAGCTGGGCCGGTAGGCTCTCTCAAGCCCTCACTCGCCTCTGGCTTTTTTTCACACTTACTTCAGGGTCTCCTAAAAGGCTTTCAGCTTGTGAGGCTCCAGTGCGCAGCCACGGCCCCACTGTCCCCATTTCTTCTGCTGCTCAATGGCACCCTCTTGTGTTCTTTTCTTTTAGCCTAATGTTCCCGAATTTTCATTCCTGGAGTTAGGTAACTCTTGAATCACAATCAACTTTTCTGATCTGGTCTGGGTGTGGAGTCTGCCAAATCAGACAGCCTCCCGGAGCCGAGGGCAAGGGACTCCATGCTGTAGCTCAAGGTATCCAATCACTTTCCTGATGAGAAAACTGACTTCAGGGCCGTGCCTTGGCTACATCTCTTCTCAGCTGCCGACTTCCTGCTTCATTTAGACCACTGTGACATGTTTGTCTTAAAAACTCCAGCAGGGGGTAGAGGAAGAACCCCCAAACATGCAGTTAGAAAACTTAAATTCAAACTCTGGCTACTTATGTTCCCGGGCCAGTCACTTCTCCATTCTCATTTGTAAAATGAAAAGACTGGACTAGCTCATTTTTTAAGGCCCCCTGCAGGTCTAAGAATCTTAGAGAGGGCATTTCAGGAGCTTAGCAAACCCCGGAGGAGTCATGAGGGTAAGGAATGTTCCTGGGGTCACGTGGCTCACAGGGGGACACTCAGATGGAGTCACCATCCTTGACATCCTTGGTGCACAGAGCATTGTGGGTAGACCTGTAGAACGGGCATGACTTGAAACTTAGAAATGCAGAGTCCCAGGCCCTGCCCAGTTTAATAGAGCATAGCCACAAACAAAGCCACCACTGTCCACAAAAGTGCTGACTCATACCTGCCTTTTTACACATTTCAGATTTGATTTTGGCAAAGAAACATCCCAAACTCTGAAGCTTGAAAATGCCCTGTATTTTGATCGAAAATACCTCTTTGCCAATTCCAAGACTTACTTCAATTTAGCTGTGGATGAGAAGGGCCTTTGGATTATCTACGCTTCAAGTGCGGATGGCTCGAGCATTCTCGTCGCCCAGCTGGATGAGAGGACATTCTCTGTGCAGAGGCACATCAATACCACGTACCCCAAAGCCAAGGCCGGCAACGCCTTCATTGCCCGAGGGGTCCTGTATGTCACAGACACAAAAGATGCGAGGGTCACGTTTGCTTTCGATTTGTTAGGACAGAAACAGGTCAGCGCCAACTGGGACTTGAGAACCTCCCAGTCCGCTCTTGCCATGTTATCATACAACATGAGAGACCAGCACTTATATTCGTGGGAAGACGGCCATTTAATGCTTTATCCTGTGCGGTTTTTGTTATCTACATTAAACCAGTGAGGAGATGCATTGCTCCCCCTCAGTAACCTTCACATGTTCTCTGGCATCATTTATATCCCAACATAAATCCTGTCTCTAGGGTAACCAGGTACGTAGCTGTCATAACCTCATGACATGGGTGTTGATATGGTCAGGGAACCCCCTTTAAGTTCAGATGCCTTCAGGGAAAATAGCAAAGTCGGAGTCAAAGTGGCTGAGATCTGGTGATTTCCCCACAGACTAGCTGGGCAGGTTACACCCCCCCCCCCACCTCTTTGGGCCTCATTTTCCCGACCGGTAATACGAAAAGGCTGGCGAAGATGATTGGCAAGAATTCCTCTACCTGTCAGAAACTCTGTGACTCTTGGCTGTTGCTATTCTCACAACTGTTCCACATTTGGTTTTGGTTTGGGGGTATTTAGCCACGTGCTAAGCAAATTTACCTCCGAGTTTCTAAGCCCAATTACTTGAGCAGTGAATTCCTGAGTACTGACTTGTTTTCAGTGCCTTCGGAAGCCACGTGGACCCTTTCAGGTTGCGGAGGCATCAGATTGCCAATAATTTATTACCTTTCCCTGCCTCCGCACCTGCCACCCCAGCACCAGAATGACCATTATCCTCAGCTCCTGATTGCCGCTCCAGGATTAGCAAAAGCCAGGCACAGCTGCACGCTCAGGTTTGCTAATGAAACAGAAACAGGCCCTTCCAGGCTCCTGTCCATCTCTGATCATGCTGATTTGCAGCGGTGGATAAACGTTGCCTCCTCAAGTCCCCCGGGCCGCTGCTTCCACAGCCACGCCTCTGCTCTCAGAGAACGAAATCTTGTGTAAGTAGGCATGAACGTGGCTAGCGCCACGGGAAGCACTGGGCAGTTTTCGGGAGAGGCACCGTCCGTGGCTGCTATCTACAACGGGGACGGACAGACAATGGCCCTGAGACCAAGCATGCCCACTGCGGCTTTCTGTAAGTTGTGTTGGAACGCAGCCACACGCATTTGCTTCTGTATCCTAGTTCGTAACTCCTCCTACTCTACAACAGCAGAACTAAGTCATAGCAGAAAAGTTGAGTAGGGGCCCCTAAAACACTAGACCCTCTGGCCCTTTACAGCAAAAGTTTGCCCACCCCTGATCTAGGATACAAAGTGAGCCTGACTTTTGGGCTTATTCACCAGGGGCTGTTTGTTATGTTTTGTTTTGTTCCACACTAAGAAGGAATAATTGACATGGTTTGAGTGTTTGGTCGACGGGAAGAGTGAGAACAGCATAAAATTAAGTGGCCCTCCCCAAAAGCAGTTCGTAAACTGTTCTTTCCCTAATACGGTTTTAAAGGATGTGATTGGGTCCCCTTGGACACGAGGAGAAAAATCCAGCTGAACTTGCACCTGAATGCCTTTAAGTATGTATTTTCTGCCAAAGCAGCTCTTCAGACATTCTGCAGCCTGGAGTCCAGGCAGGGCTGCCAAGAGAAGAGAGGAATCTGGAAAGTTACTGGGGTCCCACAGCCAGGAAGGGGACCTAGGGATTTTTCATCACTTTGCCTTCGCTGAATTCATGTATGTGCGGGAGGAGAGCTACACGCTCGGGGGTTCCCCCCGCCAAGTTCCAGTTCGTACCTGGTGGCCCTGAGTTGTGGCTTTATACCGTATTAATAGAAGCATTTGAAAACTTAGGGGCTATACACATTTGAATATTTAAATCTCCCTCATCACTGAAAACACTTAGGCAGCTACTGGGAACTTTTGTTACTGTTGTATTCTCAAAAGAGCCGATATTTGAAACTTTTTCTCCACTTTTCTATCAGATTGGTTGTCATGGCAGCATAGCTTTGAAAAAAATACACTTCAGATTCATGTTAAGATCAAGGCATCGGGGCACCTGGGTGGCTCAGTTGGTTGGGCGACTGCCTTCGGCTCAGGTCATGATCCCGGAGTCCTAGGATCGAGTCCCGCATCAGGCTCCCTGCTCGGCAGGGAGTCTGCTTCTCCCTCTGACCCTCTTCCCTCTCGTGCTCTCTCTCTCTCATTCTCTCTCTTTCTCACATAAATAAAATCTTAAAAAAAAAAAAGATCAAGGCATCTAATAAATACTAGTCTTCTAGTTAAAGTATTTAAATATATGTGTTGCTGTTTCTGGACACAGGGGACCTGGATATGAATATAGTTTCATAGTAATAGTGGTATTAGTAACAGTAATATATACAATACTAATTGTATATATGGTAGCAACCCAAAAAGGTTATTGAATGAGCACATACTCCTTTTAGAACAAATTTTTTAGAAACCTCAGTCTTGATATGAGTTATCCTGGCTCCCTTAATTGTGGGGATAGAATCATATACTTACTGCTAGAAAAGCTCATTCTGGGATTTTTTTTTTTTTTTCCCGTGGCAGAGTAATATCAGGATAAGGGAATCTGACAGAGGTATAATGGGTAACACTATAATATGGCTGGAAGTTTGTCTTTACAGAGGAGAGATTTTTTTAAGACTTGAAAAACTTAAGATTTTACTCATTCTTGCCTGCAAGCACTGCTTTAAAGAAAAAAAGGTTTGGGCTCACCGCTAAAATAGAACTAATGTTTTTAAGTCAAGATATCATTTTAGAAGTTTACACTGTCACTTATAATCAAAGTTGCTTTAAAGCACTTTCCAAATATCTGCACTTCTGATGTCAGAATCAAAGCAGATAATGCTCTAATTCTTCTTTCATCTAAAGTAAATAGCTTTCCGCTGGAAGGTAAATAACACCGTCCTCCCAACCTCAACTGTAGGCCGGACCCTATTTCAAAACATTTTCTCTCAAACTGATAACGTGTCCTATTGAAGCCATGCAGCACTCACGGTCTCAGTGTATCACTAAGCCCAGGTGTTAGAACAGAGAAACAGCTCTGGGGTGAAAGTTGTAAAATGAGGTGTTCTGGTCTTCGCCTCCCCCCCACCCAGTCCTATTACCTTCAAGGCTGCAAAGTGAGGGGTCAAATGAGACCCTACAATCCTTGAAGAGCCAGGAGTCCTTTCCCAAGTGCAAGAGGACATGTGGGCCGTGACTATTTGATGTCAGACCATCTGAAGAAGCACGGGATCGGGCTTTTCCGTTTTCAGCCTGCTGCTGGGATCTGGTGGAGCGTGCTATTAAAAGCCACAATTTCCAAGCTGTGACCACAGATCTGAACCATTCTGAGCAACAAATGAATCGTGGTGAATGGCTCTTTTTGGTTGTCATTATTTAACGTTAGCAAAGTAATCACTGCTGAATACAATCACATGTCAAAACAAGTGTATTCTTATTTTTCTCTTTTTAATTCACGTCACGTTTAAAAAGAAAAAGTAACCACCAAAAACAATACTATTGAAGAATGACCTTGGTTTCTTCTCTGTTGAAACTCTTGCAATTGGCTAACTCCTTCTGAAAACTGAGAAGTTGTTGCTGTGGACTATGTGTTCTCTATAGGAAAACATGAAAACTCTGTAAAACTACCATGTAGAACGAGTCACTAGAATCAGAAGCAGATAAATGCAATGGAGATCTGCTAATTTATTGACATAGGCTAAGCAACTTGAAAAGGACATCACCTTTTGGCCTAAAAATAAAAAAGGACAGATTTTTAAAAACTGACTTTGTGTGAATTGGGGCAGGGATCTTCGTCCCTCAGCGTCTCTGTTTCTTCTGTAAAATGTATAACAGTATCTTACTTCCTCGGGTTTTTCTTTCTTTCTTTTTTTTTTTTTTAAAGATTTATTAAAGAGAGATCACAAGTGGGGGGGTGGGCAGAGGGAGAGGGAGAAGCAGACTCCCAGCCGAGCAGGGAGCCTGATGCGGGGCTCGATCCCAGGACTCTGGAATCATGACCTGAGCCGAAGGCAGACGCTTAACCAACTGAGCCACCCAGGCGCCCCACTTCCTTGGATTTTTCTATGTGAAATGAGAAATGCTACAGAAATTGTACAATTCTTGAGAAATTACCGTTGTTATTTTTATAGTTCATCCCTGCAGAGAATCAGAGTGACCCTGTTGTTCTCACAGCCTGATTCAGGGGCTGCAGAAATGGGTCTCAGCCACGGCATCACAGTTTCTGTCTGCCGGCCTGTTCGATTAGGTAGTTAACACTTCATACCAGCACTGAGCAAAAAAGGATTCTTGGTTCTACAACAAATTTACAATAAAACTGGCCCATATAATGAAAAATGCTGTTTGAGAACCTGTTGCCATGACCTATAGGGCTTTCTAACCTCCCCCTAAAGGGTCTGTGCTACTGGGTAGCCCGTGCATGCATTGATGAGGACTCTTCATAAGTAATAGATTACAAAGCAAAAAGAAACATCCATAAAAAAATAGTAGTCTTGTCACTTCATTTTTTTTAAATTTAAATTCAAGTTAGTTACCATAGCGTGTACTATTGGTTTCAAGGGTAGAATTTAGTGATTCATCACTTACATATAACACCCGGTGCTCATTACATCACGTGCCCTCCTTAATGACCGTCACCCAGTTACCCCATCCCCCCCTACATCCCCTCCAGCAACCCTCAGTTTGTTTCCTAGAGTTAAGAGTCTCTTATGGTTTGCCTCCCTCTCTGTTTTTATTTCATTCTATTTTTCCTTCCCTTCCCCTATGTTCATCTGTTTTGTTTCTTAAATTCCACATATGAGTGAAGTCGTATGATATTTGTCTTTCTCTGACTCATTTTGCTTTGCATAATATCCTCTAGTTCCATCTATGTCATTGCAAATGGCAAGATTTTATTCTTTTTGATGGGTGGAATATTCCATTGTATGTATATATCACATCTCCATCAGTTGATGGACATTTAGGCTCTTTCCATAGTTTCACTATAAACATTTAGGGTGTGTGAACCCCTTTGAGTCAGTATTTTTGTATCCTTTGGATAAATACCTAGAAGTGCAATTGCTGGGTTGTAGGGAAGCTCTATTTTTAACTTTTTGAGGAACCTCCATACTGTTTTCCAGAGTGGCTTCACCAGCTTGCATTCCCACCAAAATTGTAGGAGGGTTCCCCTTTCTCTGCATCCTTGCCAACATCTTT